TTGGAGTGGCTGCATTGCTTGGATTCAGACATTTGCATCAAATGGAGTGGCTTTTTCATTGACAAGCAGGGTATGTGCTTAAATTTTAAATTCCCTGATCAAAGTTGTCACCGTGTTCAAGTATCACTGTAATCCAGTGTTGGGGAGTAACGGAATACATGTACCGGCGTTACGTATTTAAAATACAAAATATGAGTAACTGTATTCTGTTACAGTTACTGTTTAAAAATGTGGTATTCAGAATACAGTTACTTTGTTGAAATAAAGGGATTTCATGGCGGTCTCTTTTTCATATGTTAGGCTGTCCCCTCTGTTTTTTTTTTTTTGGTAATTCCACACCAGAACAAAACACGCATTAAGAGACTCTGACACCTGGGTCTCAATCCCATGTCACCTCAAGTTGCGGCCCGCATAATGACGTGATGATATATTTTTAAAAATTATTGTTCAAAAAATGTTTTATTATGAAGGCAATAGGCAGAGTGTTACAGGCATAGCCCTAAAGAATGTAGCCTCATGGGCAGTGTAGCCCAGCTGTAAGTAAGCTATTAAGACTCGACTGTACACTGTGTTCGTGTTTTCCTCCGAAACAATAGGTTCCGTAGGAGCAGTCTTTCAACGCCTCTCCCTGTCTCTCGCTAGCAAAGTTGACCCAGGCAAGAAAGTAAAGCTAGTTTTCGGCTATAAGCCCGACACGAACCCGACGTATTAGCCAGAGGTCCCTTTACTACGGTTCGGACCCGCCTACCTGTTTTATATACGTGCGGAATAGTTTTCTATATGAGATCGCTGCAAAAAGTGCAGCCTTACCTAATGTCCACCCTACTGTTACTCATTTTATATTAAGATTTAAATATCTAGTTGGTATTGATATGACGAGTAACCTTCAGTAATAGTAATAAATCACACAGCAATAGTACATTCATGTAGTTGTAAAAAGCTTGATAATATATTAAGTAATCCAAAGTATTTCAAATACGTTACTCTCACTGAGTAACGTAACAGAATACGTTACAAAATACATTTTGGGGCATGTATTCTGTAATCTGTAGTGGAATACATTTTAAAAGTAACCTTCCCAACACTGCTGAAATCGGACCAAGAGGAGGGACGGATGGATGGACGCCTATTTGTGTAAATTCAATGGTCCTTGAGCAAGAACCTTTCTACACTGTGTTCAGACAGACATTCTATATACAAGTTACTGTTTTAACTCATGTTAAATGAACGGTTTTATTGTTGTTTGTAATTCTTAAAAAAAATCATGCAAGGACCTTGACAACTGGCCGGAGGAAACTGAACAGTAACTTCTTGAATTAGACCATATGAGCAGCTTTATTCAGTTTTCAGTTATGTTCAAATATATTGGTAAAAGAAATTAAGCTCGTTCAAGGGCCTGACAGGCTTCTCTGACTCTGCGCTAAGCTGGTCAGTCGAAGTGAATTTAGTCTTTGCTAAGGACTCCACTCTATACTACATTAAATCCACAACCTCTTTAAAAGCCAGGTGAATGATGTTCTCGTCAGAGGCAAAATCCAAATGAAAGTTTTCCAAACAGTCAGATTCAGCTTTTCCCGTCCCTGTGCCAGACAGCTGATGGCTGAGTGGTGTGTGTTTATTTTGATGGCCACTGCCTTGTGCGTTCCAGGGTTGCACTTGTATACACAGCCAAAAGCTTGTGTGTGAGACACTGGAAAATGTACAGAAAGGAAAAAATCAAGAAGGCGTAGGCAGAGGTACAGGAGAAAAAGTGTCACCCTTCTTTAGTACATCCTGTCTCCCTCAGATTGGACAACCTGACATTTAAGCGAACTCTCGGGCCCAACAGTATATATCAGAGTTCTGGTGAATGTGTGGTGTACACAGAGCACTGGCCTGTGGTTATGGCTAAACAACAACAGAAAGGGTTGTTTGTGGGTTGCTCTGTTGGTTTGCCACTGGTCTCACTCTGTGGCTTCATATGTCCAGTCTCGAGTCTATCTTGCTTCTTCCTCTTTTATCCAACATTCCACACTGTGATAACACAACAACATGTGGATGATTTGGGTGATAAATATAGAGGGAACAACGCTGAGAGCCACACCCTGCACCGTGTGGCCACATCGCTTTAACCCAGCCTCAGTCTTAAAGGGAACGCTGGCACCAAAGGCTTTTCCCCCCCACTGCTGGCTCATTTTGGCTTCTTGGTGTGTATGTGTGTGTGTGTGTGTCCCTCCTCCTTCCACTGTTTCATTGTAGCTTATGTGACCCCTATCTCTGTTTGTTTCAGCCTCATTTTGGCTCCATTCTGGTTTGCTCTCTGCGTGTGTGCGCTAGATCTGTCTCTGCATTTGCTGCTTCATTTTAGCTGTTTGTTATCTTGTGGGTATGTGTGCCTGTATGTGTGGAGACGCACACCCCTGACCCCCTCTGTGTCTCCCACTTTGCTCTGTAATAAGAGCAGCTGTGGTTGTCGTGAGGCCAGCTCTGATTCAATTGCAGTGCAGGACTTAAGGCTATTATCCTCTGTATGCTGGAGGAGGAGAGCAGCACAGCTGCTACAGCAACGACAGGTTTGATGCCGCCTTCCAGAGATGACTGAGAGCGGGATATTTCAGACATCAGACAGGGACAAACAGCCCTCTAACACAGAATATCCCTGTTAAACCAAATGCAGTCAAGGTATTTGGTCAATTTAGTCAATTTTGATACATTTTGTCCTAAATTTGTCAGTGAAATATGTTTAGATATTATGAATTTATTATCAGCAATAAACATGAAATGATATACGCAAATACTGGACAAATGTAGAGACTTCAGTCCTGTTCAATAACCAGTGTCTATCAGTAAAGTCATATTTTAACCAAAATTAAATCTGAAGGAAAAAAACAACAAATAAGCTTTCCTTTAACAGACAGTAAACATTACAGTGGCATTGAATTTTACTGAAAAAAGCCTAAAACTAAAGAGGCATGTTCAGTTCATAAACAGTATAAAGGACACATACGTTAGGCTAATTAGCGTTTCGCTAGGCTAATTAGCTTTTAGCTAACTAGCTTTTAGCTTACTAGCTTAATGTTTTAGGACTATTTGTTTTGTTTATTTTGTCCATTACAATTAAATTCAGCTTTTTCACAAAAATGCTACAACAAATGTATCAACCAAAACAAATGGAAGTACATTTATTTCATTGTTGTAAGTGATTAGTTTTTTGGGTTGCCGGTTCGAGCCCAGGCTTGGCAGTCTCGGTCGTTGAGTCCTTGGGCAAGACACTTCACCCGTTGCCTACTGTTGGTGGTCAGTAGGCTCTGTCAGTGCGCCCCAGGGTGGCTGTGGCTACAATGTAGCTTGCCATCACCAGTGTGTGAATGTGTGTGTGAATGGGTGGATGACTGGATGTGTAAAGCGCTTTGGGGTCCTTAGGGACTAGTAAAGCGCTATACAAATACAGGCCATTTACCATTATTTTTATTCCCCAGTTTAAAAAATATGCATGCTACACACTACCAAAAAAAGATAAAAAAGAAAACTACAAACTAACTCTTGCCTAAAACCTCAATTTCTTTTCCTTTTAATTGTGGTTATACTCTACAATGTGTAGTCCTGAGTAAGATGTCTCAGGTATGAACGCCAAATCCCCAAAGATTGGAGTGGAAAATAGTAAATTAAAGACACACTGCTGCTTTAATGATTCCTTTTTTTTATTATGATTAAAGTTCAACAGTAAACACTAATTTACCTGCAGTGTTTGTTTGCTTGTTTGCATATTCTTCATTCCATAATTAGTGCTGACTCACTGATACAAAGTATTTGCATTATTTTAAAAGCGCAAAATTTCACTATAAGTGCTTCCCTATAGGTGATTCAGGCATGGATACTATCTGAATCTTCCTATAATGTGAATTTTTACTAATGTAATTGATTCAATCTAACCTGGCAATTATGTTTTAGCTTCTTCCCTTAAGCGAAACCTTCATGACAAAAACATGGATGTTGAAGATGTGAACTACAGCAGCTTGCTGAGTTAATGAAGTATCCTTTCTGCTAACCTGAAAAAAGAACACCTGTAACAACTACTAAAATGATTGAAATAGCCTCAGATTCCATAAAAGCCTATACAAGTTTACAAAATAGACAAAAATTTTACTGATGAAAGCCAGAAGTACTAAAATGAACAAAAAACAGCTTTGAATTTTCCTTCCCAAGGGCCACACTCCTACTCACTTTCCTGAGTCAATTACAGGCTGTCGCAGCTCAAGGAGACAGGACGTTGTCTTTTAGAAGGGGATCTGTATTTTTTATTTCCCCTGGTCTTTCTGAGTAGTGCCACTGGTATGCCTGGAAGGTGCAATTACAGCCTAGTGCATGAACTGGGAATTTCTTACACCCGATTTTGAACCGGAGGCTGTATCATTCTTAGAAAGCCAACGCTGGCAAAGATAAAAATGGATTGCCAGATCATAGGCTATAGAGGAATTTAAAAACAGGAACTGGGGTGAGAGAGGAAGGGAAGGAAGTGAGCAGATCAAATATTGGTACAGCAAGGAGGAGAGATGAGTGAGAGAGAAAGCAGGAGATGGGTGAGGGGAAATGAGTAATTAAGGGTGGAAGGCAGAGACGAGCTGCAGAGCTCTGCTGCTTAATTAGTGGCAGAAGGAGGAGACACCTGCCAGATGAGCACTCCTCCTCTTCCTCCCTTTTACAAACAGACAGATCTTGACGTAAAAAAAAGTAATCACAGTGGAAAATAAGAGCACTTAAAATCAGCCATCTAATAGCCAGTCAGACCCATTTTTTGGAGGAGATCCTCCTCATGTACCACAGGCGGATGTACCACTATGAATAATGTAAAAGGAAGGGGTGGAGGACACTGGGCGTGAGCGCAGGCATGGCAAAAAAACAGGGGTAGTTCCTCCCCCTCCTTCCCTTCACCACCCCTCTTCTCTTTCCATTCTCCTCCTCTCCCTGTGTTCACCCAACCCCCTAGCTGCCGGCTGCACTGCAGAAGGTCAGTGGGAGAAGGAGAGGAGAGAGGCAGAGGGAAACGCAGGGGTGGGGTGCGTGGATGTACAGGAACATGCCGACAGGAGAGCGTGCGGACGAGCGATGACAGCCATGCTGAGCCCAAAGATCAGACAGACTAGGAGAGGTAGGTTCACTCTCTCTGCCTTCACATGGATGGAGATACATCACGTCACATCTCACAGGGACTGTGGTGAGAGTTTTAGATGATGGATTAGTAGATGCACTAACTCCTTATGACACTGCATCGCACTTTTACTATAAAAAACAATTGCTCCTATACTTATGGTTTTCTAATACCCATGGAGAAGCACTTTTTCTCCCCTCCATCTGTTTGGCTCACATTTCTGAATGAAACAGGCGATCTGCCCATACAGGGAACCTCTCGCGTATATTAGCATTTTACTACAGCTGGTCGATGCCGTCGGTGTGAATTCTATTAGGAGGCGTGAGCAGCATCTCTAGTTTCATCACTGCAGCGCTAGGCACTATCAGGCTGCCGTCAGCTGCCGCTGAAGCTGCAGCCGTGTGGCATGTGTGTGTCTTTGTGGATGGATACATTAATATGTGTGTGAGAGTGTGCGTCTGTCTCACATTTCTTTTTTGGCACCAATAGAAAACTACAGTTATCTAACTGAATCTGATAAGATGACATGAATAGTTCCCAGGAATGGCAGAGCGATGTTTAAATCCTCTGGAGTGGCACAGAACTGGTTGCAAAGTCAGTTAAATCTGTAGTCTGACCTAAACAAGGGGTTTTATAGACAAAATCCCTCGTTTCCTATAGCATAAAGGTCAAAAATGCATTTTTATGAATCAAGGAAGGTAGTCTAGGGAAGAATATTTCGTATAATCTAAGGAGCTGACACTACCTCACATCCGCGCTGCACATCTGAGACAGTGAAAATGAAAGAGATTATAGCGACTGTGTGAGCCCCGCGTGGGAAACATTCTCTGCATACCGTCTGTAAATTAGTGCTTCACTGCTGACAGCATCACATTTGTTGCATGGAGTATCGCACAGACACATATCACAAGTTGAGCTAAGGTCACAGTAGGTCGAGAAGGGACGGGGCACCAACCAGCGTGGTGGCGACGCTGTGGATGATTAGGCTGCTTGTACTGGTAAGTCCAAGAAGACACTCATAATATAAATTAACGATGTGTCACGCATGTATCGATCATTCCTGGCTCCTGAATTCATGACAGCAGAAGGTCAAGCTATGTAAACCATACAGCGTAAAAAAAAAATCCTAAAAAAACAGTAATATTCCGGCAGCTGGGGCGGCAAAATAACACCATAAAATAACAGAAAATAACTTTCTCATAAAAATACGGTTATTTTCAGTGATGACAATACAGTTTGTTGCCCTAATTTTCCATGGGATTTGCCTTTGTCAAGTGCTTTTAAACATTAAATTAGGAACATTTTAACGTGATTAAACAATGAAATTACCTATAAACAAGGTCAATGAATGCGGCAATATGAAGACTAATACTAAAATGTACAGAAATATACAGTTAACAGTTGGTTTAAATAATAATGGATTGCATTTATATAGCGCTTTTCAAGACCCTGTACAATTCCACTATTCATTCACACACTGGTGGAGGCAGCTAGAGTCATAGCCAGAGCTGCCCTGGGACAGACTGACAGAGGCGAGGCTGCCATAGCGCACCATCGGCCCCTCTGGCCATCACCAGTAGGTGAAGTGCCCAAGGACACAACGACCGAGAGAGTCCGAGCCGGGGCTCGAACCGGCAACCTTCTGATTACAAGGCAAACTGCCAACTCTTGAGCCACGATCGCCCTAAATAACAATGATAATATTATTAATATCTAAATATGCATATGTACAGACAGATACATTTAAAATTTTTAACTCATTTTTAACCTTAATTTTTTATATTTTATTCCTTCCTAGTTAAATTTACCCTTTTTAATTTTTCATATTTATTTCCTATCTTATTCATAGCCTTTTCCTTTTTTTTCTTTAGGTCACGAGCAGTTGTCTAAGCATTTCACTGCATATCGTACTGTGTATGACTGTGTACATGACAAATAAAATTTGAATTTGACAAAAAAAATTTTTTTTGAAAAACAAGAAAATTATGTTTTATTACATTTACAGTGATTTTACGTTAATTTACATTTGAAATGTAAAATCACAGTCTATTTATGTGAATTTAATGATATTCTAGAAAAACAGTACAAAACTGTAAAATACACAGTAAAATACTTTTATATTGCAATTTTTTCTACAGTGTAGCCTGTATGTAAACGATGGCTGTGAAGTCACCCGTTGCTTTGTGATTTTTGTTTTTCTGAACATTTCAGTTGGCACTGTTTTGTTTTTTGGACGGCAGGTTAGAGATGGGGATTACTGTACACTCGTTTCATTACAGCACTGTTTTAACTTCTTACTTATTTTAACTGAATAAGATGAATTGCAAACAAACTGTCCTTATCGTGTCAACTTTAAGTCTTAATATAACATAAACTAATTGCATTATATTAAAAAAATAACCTTTTCTCTTGCACAATGGACACAAAGAAAGGAAAAGTCAAAGTCAACTTTATTGTCAGTTCTAAAATATGTGGAATGTGGCATACACAATTGAAATGTCATTTCCGTCTGATCAAACGTCTACAGCTAGACTCAATCAAATATAAAACAGTTATAAGAATATGAGTTATACATGTGAAAAGAAATATTTAGTATCAAAGTATAAATATTAATTTCACAGGATAAAGTTGTGATCGGAAGTCCTCCAGTGACCTTTCTCCACAATGGAACGATTTTACAATTTACATCTTTAATGACCCCCAAAAAACAAGAGTTGGTGGCACAAGCTTGAATCCAGCTGGAATCTCTCCAGTCCAATCTATAAAGACCAAAGATGTTTTGGTGTGTCAGTCTACAGAACATGTCTAGTTCTGTTGCTGGACATATTTACATGGGAGTCTATTGGGACTGACTCCACTTTTGGAACCAACCTCAACTACCCATTTGAGGAAATTGCCATTTCCACATTGGCTACATTTTTTAACCTCAGAGGTTGCTACTTGACGTGAACAACCATATGCTGTGTACAAGAAGTCTTGACAATGTCCCTGGTACAGTGTCCATCTTGGTTTTAGAGCTAATGGAGGTAGTTGCCCTTGTAACAAATTGGAGGGTAAATGACAGCATGTCACCCAGATCCTATAGGGCCTTGTGTTTTTGCAGATATTGAAGACGTAACACAACGTTCAGTCTGGCTGTTGCACACTGCTCTTCAGATGCTTCTGCTTCTTATTTAGCAAACAGACAAACAGTATCAGATTTATCTTTCTATCAAGGAAGCAAATAAAGGTAAATTTCTACCATGTCTAAACTACAGACTTGATATTATTTATCTTTTAGCTTCTATCTAATTGTTGGCTTTTAGCAATAACTGTGTCAACCACTAACACATTGAAACTGTAACAGGGTTGTGGTTACAATGGTTGGCAACAGAAATAGTAGCAGATTTAATTGCCCACATATCAGCTGCGTCTTTTTGATCTGTGTTACCATGGTTTTGTGATCAAAGTGCTCCAATGTAGCAACACCCTGACATAACGCCTGTCAAAGAAACATGAACGAACACCCTCACAACTACATGCTGTGAGCAAGACTGTGGAGGAAAAATTCACACATATAACGTACATGTAGAGACGATAACGCGCACCCACCAGTGCAGATCACGTCCACCCCACTGCAGTTTTAACATAACAGGCTGTATATTATTTGCAGCCCCCACCCAAGAAATGCTACCACACACATAACAGCTAACGCATTAATCAGCAGTGATAGGCTAACGTATTGATGCACCTGTAACTCCCTGTGCTGTTTTTTTCGCAAGCCATAAATCACTGGACAAAAACCAGATTAATGAAATTGGATTCTTGCAACATGCCAATGTTTGTGCTTGCGTGCATGTGATTTAGCCATCAGTGTAGTGCTACTGAGCTACTCTGGAGCACTCGCCCGGCCATGCTAATGGATCCACTCCTCTCTGATGTGCATAACAGCCTTATATCAATTTCCCACTGGTGATAAATATACAGCTCCAAACTGTATAAAGTGACATCACAGGCAGTGTGCACGTTCAGGCATGTGTGCGAGGCATCATGTGTCTTCATGTGTCAGACCACTTGTGCTTTGTTTTACGTTTGTTGACAACCATTTGTTCACATTGTGGCATTAGTTCCATACGTGCCACTGCTGAGTCCAGGACGGGGCACTCCATCGCTGCTATTTTGAGGGTTGCATGAATTTCAGTCTCTGTGAGTTTGTCTATTTCTGTGGCTGAACAATCAGCATCACCGTTCTCATGTTTATACACGAGCAAACTGAATGAAGCTACATCCTCACATGGTTTTGCTTTGTTTAGTCCTCTGTCCTGTAAAACCTTCTTTAAGGCTCAGTTCACACAAATTAGCAAACATATGCACTTATCTGCCATGTTTATACTGCGGCTTTATCTTCCACACAATACAATGGTGAATAAAACATTTTAACAATGAGCAGTAGTCCTAAAAATTTCATCAATACTGGTGAAGTTATAAAAATCCACTGTTAACATGTCACTGTGAAGCAGTGAACATTATGTAAATTACTGGCCAAAGTAGGAATGTCATGATACCAGAAATTTAATAGTCAGTACAAATATCAGTCCTTTGTAAACATTTTAGCATGTAGAAAATAACTAATTTACAACGGCAGTGCTAACTGTCTCAATACATAAATAATAATAAGTAGTAACGTGTATTTCAGGACAACAATGCAAAGTACTTCCTTACATGATTCCTTAGCATGTAAGGATAGACCAAAATTCACAGAAGAGTTGCAGCTAGGGTTGCAAACTTCCTAACTATCACATAAGGGACACTCTGGTGTGCCAGAAACACAGTGCACAGCTAGCTGGGCATAGTGTAAATATGCACTGTATGTTCATAATCAATACCTCATCTAAAACAATAAATGACAGAAATCACATGGGCAAAAAAGAAAAATGATCAAACAAAATACTGTAAATACAGGCTTCAATTACCCAGTTTATTAAGCAGACCAAATGGCACCGTATTTTTATGACTCACAT